AATTAATGACCAATTAGCGCATGATGCTTTGTTATTAATAAAAAGAAAAGGAAAATGCCTTTTTATGCAAGTTTGCCGTGTTTCTCGCGTTAGCACGATCTATCAATTTCATATTAGGTCGATGGGAACGCACTAGACAAGCTTCTCCCGACTGCAAGATGTAAATGAAATCTCTTGACTGTTAACGCGCTAATTAAAGTGAAATCCTCGCATCAACTTCATTAGCGAATCGTGCGCTAGGAGGGAAACACTAATGATGATAGTCGCGAGCGTCGTATTGATAACTACCACCAGCGCTATATTATGTTGGATTTTTTTAATACGATCACTCTTCTTCACGAGCATTCGAGATCAATCGTTTCATTCGTTGAATCGAGCGAATTTTTATTCGCGAGGGTGTATAATATGATGCACCGACATCCCTTTTATCCGAACTTTTCGCATTCGATTCGATTTTATTTCGTACTGATTTTTCTTCTCAACATCACGCAAAATCTTCTGTATCATAAGCTATTAAACCGAAGATTTTCTGCGCGAAGTTGGAAAGATGAAGATATCGCATTGTTAATTAATTTTAAATAATTTTAGAATATTCAATTAAAAGAGATTTAATCTGTGCATATATATTTTTTTTTGGCGGGGGGGCGAATTTATCATTTTGCGTATTTAAACCGTAAGTCGGGTGATTATCCGGTAATCCGATTTTCTGTCTGCCATCTGATTCGACGAGTTCGCGAAATTCCAACGAAAAAGAAGACGCGATCCACTTTCGCGACGCGATCCTCTTTGTGCGTTTCGAATATCGGATCGCTCCATCCTCTCGATTCATGGTTGAATGATGTCGAAGCACGACAATCGCAGTGGAAGCGTTCTACCCTAACGAGCGGCTTTAATTTCTGCCCTCTTTCCACGTCATTTGCCGCGGAGGAGAGTTCCGACGAGAAACACGACTAGACCCAAAACTTCCTCTCTCATCGAATTATCCGGCTTGTAGACAGGTCGTACACGCCGTATATAGACTTCTCTTATTAATCATTATATCAGTGATTCTGTATATTATTGTTTAGTTTCCGTAATTTATTTTTCGATTAAATTTCTGTCGATATAAAGGAACTAAGAATTATGAAAGATTGAGAAACTCTATAAACTTTTGTAATTGAATAATATTATTTTCTATAATTTATCAAATTTCTCGAGTATTAATGTCACCGCTCGGTTGTATCGGCTTGTCTTCTACAAGAGTTGCTTTAGCAACCGGACATTTTTTCGCGACGAGTTTCCTACCGAGGCGTCAACGAATTGACGTTTATCCCTCATAGGTACCATTTATTGACAGTATTCGGCCTTTATTGCATAACGATGACCCGCGGTCGCAGGTGCGCGATGCCGATCAATCGCCGATAAATTTGCGTCAGGCGATATTAATAACGACTTCTCTCGCGTGGCTGTCAATTTCGCGGGAGAGACAAAACTTGGTTCATCACTGCGGGAATATGACGCGCATGCAGAAGCGAGGATTGGATAGCGGGGTAATAAACTGGAATAGGATTCGTACATATAATCCTCTGGCCCGTAAAACGAAACGATCCAGTTTCTCCACGAGCCTCTGAAATCTTCGTAATCTCTCGACTAAAGTTTCGGCCGGTCGGGACGAGAGCGTATCCAGAAGCCATCCATCTTGAAAAGCAATAATAGTCTCCCGTGTCCTCGGTTTCCTTGGCAGCCTATCACCACGGCCAATATTATTTTAGTGGCGTTACATCGCGTGTTTCGCATCCTTTCGTCGTCGTTGTGTGTGTCGTGCGAGAAAATTGACCTACCTATCCAAGGATAGGCAATCGCCGGTTCGTAAACGGCAAGTGACCATGTTAGGAGATAACCGGATCGGATCTAAAATTGCTTCCGGCAGCGATTTTAAAATCCAGATTTCGATCGTAAATTGTGCCGTAAACTTTATCTTTAATAAATATTTTTTTTTATCGCCTTGAAAAGAAAGATGCGGTTTTAGATTCGCAATATTGCAAAATTAAAAATATGATTGCGATTACGTTTGTTATCATTCAGTTGATAAAATTAAGTGCCGCCAAGGGAACAAATATATTTTTCCTCGCTACACTTTTCGGTGATTGATCATGATTTAAGGCATCTATGACGTTGATCGGTATATTCGTCCGATCCAGAGGCGAACTCGATGGATCGTATCGTGAAGTTTTCTTCCTGGACGGCATCCGCGACCGAGAGCTTCATCGGGTTCCGCAGCCGGCGCGTGAGATTGGTTTGTCATCCGAGCGAAGCTCCATCGTTTCTAGCATACTCTGTCTCTCATGGACTATCTTGAGACATTTCCGTGCGGATCGTCGGGCACGCGCGTATCGCACGGAAGATTGGTCCTTCGGCGGAAGTGGGAAGGACGGAAGAAAAGAAAACGAAAAGGAAAACAGGGAACGAGACAGAAGCTCGCTTCTTGGATTTAAGATCTCGTCGACGGTTCTCGAGAATCGAGAGAAAACAACTCTGCGATCCGCGAAGTTGAAAGAACAGGCGGGATGGTTCTTGAGGGGGGAGCTGGAGAATCGAAAGATGAAAACAGGGGATGGAGCGAGAGACAGGGAGAGAACGCGGTTATTCGTGAATCCTAAGAGTTACGGTGCTTCCAAGCGAAAAGGAGGGGTGGAGAGTGGTCGGGCCATAATCCATACATTCGCGGGAAATAAATAATACACGAGCACCGGATCGGGCGGTCGGTTCCGTCGTGCATTGGTCAGAGGATGAACTTCTACTTCCTATATTCGAGGAAAATATACGAGATCCGAGTCCCTTTTCACGACTCGTCTCCACCCACGGACTTCTCTCCCTCTCCCCTCTCTCTTCTCTCTCTTTCCTTATGATCGTAGAGAAAGACATGGACGAGAGATCCTATTCTATATAAGAACTTCTTATCGCTCTTTGAACGATATTCTGCCTAATAGCGCGCATTCGATATCGAGAACGTTTGCGATGTACTTTCGAAAGATAAACTGAACTGCGTACGAAATGTGCGTCATCGCGTTCTTTTAATTGCATGATTTTTTTTCCTTCATTGATTTGTCGAGTTTAAGGATAAACATTTGCAATTTTTTCTGCATGTGTCGTATACATATGTGCACGAGTGGATATACATAATGTATATTTAAACGTTATATATGTATTTCGCGTCTCTATTTTACCATATTTTGCAGGAAGCTGCATGAAAAGCATCATTAACCGTTAAAGAAGTAATATTTTCGTTGAATTTACAGAAAAGTAATAAGTAATGCCTCTTCATAAAGTGAAGATTGAGGGCTTCATATTTGCTATTTTCATACGCGAAAGATGCAATTTGCAACTCGTGCGCAACTCGAGAGAAAAATATTCATAAGGAAAAATATTCAGTAGGTAAAAAAAAAATGATTGGATACAAATGATTTGGATTGATCACTTATCTTTTTAGTCAAAGAATATAATGAAATTATGCTTTTTTGTTCTACGACCCGAGAAATGATCGTGATCGAATCCACGCAAGATGCAGCGCTTCCTTTCGCCTCGTCCGGTTGTCTTTATCTTTTTGATTTCGCATTCCGTTTCGAAAATCCCCAGTGACGGTTTTCTTTACGAGTTATGAGTTATCCTCCACACATGTTTGGCCATGCAAACAGGTAACAGTGAAGGCTCTCGCTGTCAAAGCTTACCTGCAGATTTAAGGAAGTGCGTCTCCGACCGCGACTGCATAATGTAACCCATAATTCGTGAATAAATGCAGCGTTGGTCCGATAAATATTTCGTTAAGCTCTTTTACGATACACGTTACGTTCCCGTTTGACGGCGAATGTCGACGACGAAAAACCGCGACTATATAATGAATGAAGAAGTCGTAAGAATTCGTATAACCATAAATAAGCGAGAAGTGCGCATTTTACATTTGTGAAATTAATTATCGTATAAGATAACGATGATAATGATGTGCTTATTTAATAAAGATAATATATGTAAATAAAGATAATATATGTAAAATAGATAATGATATATTTATAATATAAATGATATATTTAATAATGATATATTTATATTATAAATATATCATTATCTATTTTATATAGATTATCTTTATGTGCAACGTGTATTTTATTGAAGTGTTATAATCCGATTGAATTTATAGTTAATTACAATACTTTGAAATATCATAAATATGATATTTCAATTACTTTTGCCCGTTTTTCCATTGCTTTTGCCTCTGCAAATCGTTTTTTATAGTAATTGTATACAGAAGGACGATTAACGATTCTAAGAGATGAGTCGAAAGAGGATGTTCTTCATAAATGTTGATTCGCAAAGAGAAGCATAAGGATTAATTATTAATATCTCGAGATAGAGAGAAAGAGAGTTTTCTCCTCACTCGACTGACCGCAACGTACTTCCGTTTCCGAGAAGACTCTGTTAAGCATTTAGATTCAGACTTATGTTTAAAAGCGTGTCACACTTTGCTGTAGTACGTTTCCTGATCCTGATTTCTTTTGACGACAAATTCGAGATTTATCAACGCTCTAAGGACGGAACGACAGAAGGGGGGGATTTGCTTCTTTCCACTTCTTAAGTAATCGAGAGATGCTCGACGCGATAATTTATTTCAATTCCGCTCAAAAGCTTCGAGACGGCGCGATTAATATTCGCGAAACGAAACTAACTGATGTTATCTTACAAATATTTTATAATTTTCTTGCGCTCTCTCTCTCTCTTTTTTTCTATCTTTCTTTTCCATATTACGATAACATTTTACAATCCGCGCCATTCAAAGATATTTTATGCTACGTCGAAGAGATCGTCGTAATGTAGATTTATGCGAACGGCGGTTCTTATAGCGTAATCCTGAATTACATGATGCGTACAGACGCGAAATATACGTCGCGTGCAAAGTAGAATTTATCGAGAACTCATGGCCTCTGAAGAAGCTATTTATATCACACGAATGTATTTTATTGTTACAGAGGGGTAGCGACGAGCTTCTGTCGCAAAGTGGGGCAGTCAGCAATGGTGCTTCAATGAGTCCGCAACCTCATCACGCGGCCGACAACAACAATGACGCCAAGAAGGTGAGTGTTTTTTAATTAAATCAACGAGTAGTCTCCGCGCACGATGATAAATTTCACGGGCTTTCCCCAAAAGTATTCAAGAATTCTGACTTAGATATTTGAGAGAAAATCTACTATTGGAGAATATTATATATAATTATTATTTATCATTATTTCTAATTTCGTACACACACACACACACACTTACAATATTTCTCGAAATGCTCTCGGAATACACAGTCGCAAATTCATATTTTATATATCGCGTCTCTTCTCAAAAGAAAATCCCTCTTTTCGATTTCGGCTACGATAATAATACACGTAGTATGGCGGAATAAAATACAAGGAACGCCGATAACTTCCTTCTTGGTCCGTCCATTTCACCGATGGCGGAAAGCAGTCGTGTGGAGCTTTTTGGGAGAGCTTTTCTCCCTCTTTTCTCTCTCTCTCTCTCTTCTTTCTCTCTCCCCCGAATTGCCTCACGGCGAACCGACCGCAACCAGAACGCGCAACGAACCATAAATCATCGCATACCAAAGAGAAATTCGTATGCAGTGACCCCGATTGAAATGCGTCCATTGAAATCTGATCGGTCGCTTTCGCGTTCCCCGAAGAGTTCTCGCGTTCCTTCCGGCTTTCCCATCGCAACGAACGTATGGCTGTCCATCAAAGAGACCGGGAAATCGTTTTCCTTTTTTATTTTTTTTTTCCTCGAACAAAGTCGACTAACGCTGATTCGCTGTTTGTAGAAATTTTTTGACGAAACGACGCGACAAAAACTGTCGGTGAACGAACTCGCGATGTGGAGGGAACTTAATTTTTCACGGCGGCCGATTATTATTCTTGCGCGTCAACAGAGATATGATAAATATTAATTAATCTCGTATGTATGTGTGTGTGTATCGCGAGATAATCGACTACCGATAGACGAAGAGAAATTATCGATGTGTATCTCCCCGGGCAAAATTAATTTTCGACGCAATCCTTGCATCTCGCATGAAAAAAGTAAAGAGAAAAAATAACCGTCCGATAGTCTGACGATTATTAATCGATCTACTTACGCGAAAGTATAGATTATTTTGTGAATGCCATTAAGAGCACACCGTATTTATGTCCCGCTGAAAAAATTAATAGTCGGTTCAGAGACCAACTTTATATCTCATCGAATATAAAAGGTCGATAAATTTTTCGTATCGATATGTTTTCGGACGGTTATATTTATTTCGATTTCTCGAAAACATACATTCGCGCAATCCATCAGGAATTTAAAAAAGAGTAACATTTTCGCAAGGGGGAAGAAAAATGCGACGTAAAATACGGTCTTTTAGCGAGGTAACGTACCTTAATTAATATTTTGCGCGCGCCATCGTGGCGACAGCCGTTTACGGTGTAAGCTTCGTCACGGGAAAGAGGATGGAACGGCACTTTTCTCGCGCACCTGCTCTCGTCACGTATACTCGACATCGTCACACGTCGTTTCAACGAAGACACGAAAAAATGGTGAAATTTCTGGAACGCAAACGACGTCGACGACGTCGACGGCGTGTTTGGAAACCGCATCGGGAGACACGGCCATGTCTCGGATCACTCGGTCGCACGTGCACCACCGGATGTAGTCTAAAAGTTCGACCTCGTTCCTCCCCGGGCGTCGTTAATCATTTTCGTATACATATATGTAGCCTCAAACAGAGGCAAAGCTCTGTGAGCGAGATATGTAAAGCGCTCCGCTTTCATTTTCCGTGGAATTTACCGAAATCCCTGTTTAACTGAATCGGCGAGTTTTTGCATCATCGAAAAATGTCGATACGATTTGATTAATAGTTTGATAGCGAAATGTAGGCGTTCTCGCATTAGATCGCTCATATTTTAACGTTAGGAATGAATAACGGAATTCTCTGCAAAGCGCGCGGTCCTTTAACAATGCGGTACAAATCGAGGAAATATGCGGTTTACGTATGCGTTATTTTTCCTTGAACTTTATCGTTATTTTTGATTGTGACAAACAATGCCATTTAAAAATGTCAAGGCAATCTTAATAGCCTTCGTTAAAACAACTGGCGGAGCGGAAAGTCAACTAGTCCTATTTTTTAGCAGCTAAATATCCTCTAAAATATATCGTTTTCCTTGTTCGAAATAAATGTATAAATTACACGAAAAGATATAAATGTTAATTATTATAAAACTACAAAACAACATTTTACTGTACTCTTTGATATCTTATTATTTATATAGGAAATATAATATTTTCTTGTAGAAATTATACATATATGTTAATTAATTTTATACATATTATAATTATATTTAGCCGAGAACTTATACGCTCTTTCTCTTTTTTGCCATAAAATTACAAACAACAACGAACACTGCTGTTTACAGAACATTCGCGGAAATGAAAATAATTATGCTGCGTTGCCTGGCATGTTTCTAACGTATAAATATTTCCACGAGAAGGTACAAAAATATATTATAATGGCGATACGTATGTAAAACTTATCGTCGATCGTTAATGAAACGTGTTTTTTACGAGAATATTGCTTTTTATCGCGAGGACGGATTTGATGACAAAACCGAAGTCTTTTCGGTTTGTCGCCTTTCACTTTGAAAATGTACGCGCTCTACTTTCCGACGAAGTCTCTCGCGACAAGGGAAACTTCAGGAAATTTTACTAGCCATTGTCGACTATGAACACGTTTGCTTTACGCGCCAGCTAAAGACGCAACATTTATGTGGCGCGCAAAAAATACCGCGAAAAATATCACGGAATGGCTGGTAATCCTCGCTACATTATCATACTTAAAACAACGAGAATAATGTTAACAGACATTTTTTAAAACTAAAATTTGTTTACTACGACATCATATAAATATAAGTCGGTTTATAAATCGATTTATGTAATGATAACTGTAACGTATAACGAAATAAAAATTATTACAGTTTATATAACTTGCTTCTATCTCGTAAAAAAAAAGAATCAGTTTCTTCTCTAGAAATATTTCAAAAAAATATTCGATATTATATTTCGTGTCGATGCAAGATGATCAGAACCACAATTTGTTGATTTCTTTCCTAAACATAGGCGAGGAATAGCTTTGGGACCTTTTTCTTTCGGTTACGGGATTGCCTCTAGTCGAAGCAATTTCGTCTCGATCCACGGTATATATTTCGGAACGAAACTTGCCATAACACATATGCCTCTTACTTAATATAAATTGGCGTTTGGGAAAAGGGTCTGGAGGGTGCAATTTATCAGAGAAGAAATCGAACCCGCGCTGCGTCCGCCATTGGCGGGAAATCTGTTAAGAGCAAGAAAAAAGTCGATCCCTCTTGCGGACAGGGAAGCGGGGGCGCGGTTAAGAAAACGTATAGGGAAGCGTCTTTTTACAATCCGGGAGTGTGTTTTCATCTTCCTTTCTCTCCCCACGTCGCTGACCGACGTACATCATCTGCTCGCTATCATTGCGAGCGTGCGATACAGCAGGTGCTTTCCCAATCCTTCCTTTCTCTCTCCTCTCTCTCTTTGTTTCAACGTCTCTTTTTGGCTCTTTCGCTTTTAGCAATTTTTTATTTTTTTTATAGAATAATCCTCCTCGTGTATTTTTCAGAGTCCGTTTCCGCGCCGCGCAAAAACTCTCCGCTTTAACGTTTTATTAGCTTACAACCAGAAATATTTTTAAAATCCCCATTTACATCATTTCTTTTTAATTATATGACATATTTTTATGTCTTAATGAGTTAATATGAGGAGAAGAGGGAAGATGGAACAATTATACTCTTTTCTTAAATCGATTATTTAACTTCTTTATAACATACGCTCGCAAAAATCACGCAAATGAATCTCACTGCAAAGAAAGCGACGCGCTGAAGAATCACTATTTCATGATGCTTGCGGAGTGCAAAATCCGCGGGTGCGAAGAGTCGAAGAGCGAGAAAAAAGGAAGGTGACGAGGAAAGGCGAGAATTTCTTTTTCTCTTGAAAGCGCGACGGACGGAGGAGTAGAAAAAGGAAAAGAGAATCCTACCGATGTTCGTAGACGATCTGAAGAGGTACGCTCGTGAAGCTCGTAGAAGCTCCCATTCATTGCGCCTTCCAGGCTGAATAAAGCTTCGAGAGAGAGAGAACGAGGAGCAGGTACAACCTTTCGCCGTCATATTTCTACCACCTTGCCTTCGGGGCTTTTCTCTTGATATCAATCGCTCCGGATTCGCCTGTAGATTTGTCCTCCTCTTCGACAAATCTCTGCGAAACGACTGTCTCCCATCCGGTTAGGATATCATATCAATCGAGAAGCAGCCGAGTCTCTGAACAGGTTTCTCGATCGTCGCTTGGGATCCTTTATCTAACTCTCCGACTAACAGCAGAGTGCACGTAAGTGGCATATGTCCTGTGATTTGTTTTCTAAAAATCGTCGCTTTCTTTAAGTGTGATAATATTATCTGAAAAAATTTCCTTGCAAAAATTTAAATGCAACATACAGTGTAATGTAATGCAACACTGGCGAGACGATAATTCTTTTCCGATAGGTCAATGTAATGCGAGTTTGTGTCCTTCCTCGAACGGACGCTTATATTCTCCGGAAAATCGTATAATGCGGCATTAACTCTACAATGTTGCTAAGTGGATGCGAATCCGCTTTAATACGGATTTTTAATTTGCTCTGTAAGATCCCATCTAGCGTGAATAATCATGTTGAGGCGTACAAGAAGAGGTGGAAACGCGGATTAAACGCAGGTATATAAATTGATTAGTTGCACGCTCTGCTTAATGAGGACCGTGTAATTTACATTCCGGCCGTTGTGAATTGCTAATTTTAATAATCGCGAAACTGGACCCGCTGAAACGTAAATACGTCTCTATCAGCGTTCCATTTCCGTTTCGTAAATAATACCCCGTATAAAATTAATATCGCAATTTGTATTTCCATCAGTTACAGCCGCATGATGAAGACTATTGCGATTCTTTCGAAAATTCAGCATTTAATCTTCCATTGCTTTGTATGCGTTCAATGAATCGTGAATTAACT